GCAACTCTCAGTCGAAACAATCTTCTTGCAACATTTTTTATCCGAAACTTATGGGCAAAAAAAAATTATTAAAAAATTATTCCAAAGAAAAATAAAAGATAAATTTGTCAAAACCGAGCGATAGAACCTACTAAAAACAGTCAAAACCCTAGTTAGTACTAGCTATACTACGAAAACTACATATGTTTTAATGTATTCATTTCGATGTCTTTTATCGCCTCCGCGCGAGGAAAATATACTTTGCCTTTGAGAATATTTCGCAGACCCTGGCGATATCTCTCATTTAGAAGGAAATAAATGCACGGGTTCAGTGATGCGTTCGAGTAAAATATGAACTTAGCTGCGAAGCTCAAATGGTCCATACCACAAGGAATTCCCTTGTACCACGCGAAGAAAAATAGAAAACCTATGATATCTAATGGTAATATGCAAATAACGAATAAAAGTATAATTGCTAGAATTTTCCACGTGATTTTAGCGTTCTCTTTCTGCCGGCTTTTCACGAGTGAAGATGAACATCCTTTCCCAAAGGGTTTCTGTTTTTTCAGAGCCCTGAATATGAGTGAGTACAAAACGGTTATTATTATCAAAGGGATGGCGATCAAAACAACTGATATCATAATAAAGTTGATCTTCACTGCTCGTGGATTGTCGAAGAAGCAAAAACTGATTCCTTTTACTTGTTCATGGCGTACCGTGTAAAAATAAATACCGTGTAGAGCCATGGATATCAACCATATCAGTGCAATAACAACTTTGCGTCGTTTCGGAGTTATGATAGGACGACGAAAGGGCGAGACAACTCCAGTGTACCTATCCAATGTGATAACAACGATACTTTGTATCGAGACGGCAGTAGAGATGTCTTGGAAGAAGTAAACAGCTTTGCAAAGGACTGCACCAGCCAGACCATCGATCAACCATCTGCGGTGACCGATAAAGATTTCCGTCATTTCTCGCGGTACTGCAAATGTAGAAAGCAGTAGATCTGACACGGCCATGTTTGCGATTAAGTAGTTTGTTGTGGTTCGCATATGCCTGTTTTTCGCAACAACGGCGATAACCGCTGCGTTTCCAATAAGTGAAAGCAACATGATCACAGTATAACATGCTGCCTTGATAGCCTTTGTAGAGATGGGATCTTTCGTGGTGAAAGGATTACATTCGGTTTCACTTTCATTAGATAGTGGTAGATTTTCTAACAACCCATTCATCTTCTTTACTCAGATATCGAAAATTACGCACGCAAGGGTATTGTCGGTTAGCCAAGCGCGTAGCACTTGAAGACACACACAACTAGTGCTGGAATCGAAGTGCTTGTTAGAATAATTTACCAATCCACGTGTGTAGAAATGTTTGATGTCGCTGGTTTTCAGTGTCACGCAATTCAAAATAGATCAAAATAAAAATCAAAACCGGTCAATAGATAAAATCCAGAATCTGGGAAATGAAAGAAGGTAAATATGCAAAGACTCTCGCCAAAATTCTGGTCACAGCAATTTTTCTTATGTGAGATATGTGGATAAATTTTTTACCCAAATTTATAGAGATTTGAATGGAGACGGCATGCTGGTGCCCATACGGATGGGCACCAACATGGCGGCCGGAAACCGACAGAAACATCTGTCACTGAGTTTTGCTACAAAAGC